CGCCCCCCCCTCGGCTGCCCCTGCCCCGCCACTGCTATTTCCTGGCACTGGATGCCTGAACTTGCCCTTTTCTTCCTGACTCATTTCCATTTCAGTCCAATTTCTGAGTCCTCACAATCTATCCACTAATTAACTCACTACTATACCCTTATAATTATTTGATTTTTCTAGTTTCTTGCTAGGCTGGGAGTGGGTTGTAGGGTAAAGACTCTATAGGGATGCTTCTCTCTCTCTCTCTTATGGAAGAAATAAACTTTAAGAGAGAGAGAGAGAAAGAGAGAGAGAGAGAGAGAGAGAAAGAAATCAGACGGGAATAGTTGGCTCCGAAATAATTCCAACGTATGACAATTAGTTGATATGTAAGCATGACAACTGTACTTGAATTAGAGACAAAACAATGGTATAGACTTATGGTCTCTCTGAGAACTTGCCCAGCTTATATAAGTTCACAAAATGTCAATGATGCATAACTTCTCACCATATACAGTAATTCATAATTTCTCACAATACACAATAATTAAAAGATTCTCCGTGCCATCTGCCAATGAATTTATACACTCCCAGGTGTTAGGTTTAATCTAACTCAAAAATTAAATTATGTAATAAACAAGAAGCAAAGAAACACAAAGAACATTAGAGCACCCTCCTCTACCTGTTGATAGAAGAAATTCAGAGTTGGCTTGTCTTCAGTAAACTGGTTTAGAAATCCTTTTGGCAAATAACGAATTCTTAATTCGTACCTGAAAAATAATTTGCAAAACAGAACCGTTAGAAATGCCTAATTTTTCTCAATTCAGTGTACAATTATAACATTATCATGATTATAGCATTGCCAATTACTTTAAAGTATGATTTTTAAAATAAGGAAATATAATCCATTACTCTTTAAACACAAATTTTTTCATCTCTCAGCACAAGAGTAGTGCATGCATCAAAAGTGCGCTTGGTGACTCTACAAGGAGACGAACATGAAGAGAAGCTGGACATCCCCAGCCTTGTGGGTCAGGGTCGCTCTGCACTGCTTGTGAGACTGAGACATAGCTAATATCTGCATTTGTTCCTAGGTGAAGAAGCACTCACTGTACGATACACCAGTTATTTATCCATAGTACCATTAGTGGCTATTTGAGTTGTGTGGGGTTTTTTGTTCACTTTCAGGCAGTTAAGAATAGTGCTAGCAGGTGGTGCGGTGGTTAAGGCATTGGACAGTCCCACATGGCAGACCATGGTTAGAGTCCTGGACCTGATGGCTTGCTTTCTCACTTTCCTTCTCTTTGTGTGTGTGTCTATCTCCGGTCAAATTAAGATGAATGAATGAATAAAAAAAAAACTAAATAATTCTTTAAAAAAAAAAAGAAAAAAAGAATAGTGCTACTATGAACTATTTTTTCTTCCCTCAAGCATTAAAAAGTAACTTATTTGCTCAGGAAGTGAAGCTTCAAGAATGGTTGAGGGAGGAAACCAGCAGTTAGCGTAATGGCTATGTCGCTAGACTCCCACGTAGTCGACTGCAGTTTGCATCCCGGACCCGGTGGCTTAAAACTCACGCCGGGTGCGTGTGCGTGCGTGCCCAAGATCCTGAGAGGAGAATGGAGGAGAAGGGATTGCCGCGTGACCATCTCCCCTGAGGGGTGATTTCTCGCTTTCTGTCTCTATCTGTCTGGTGAGTGCACGCGCCCTATAGCAAAAATCTCTCTCTCAAAAAAAAAAAAAAAAGAATGCTTGAAGGGTTGGACAATGGCACAGTGGTCTGTTTGTCTCTGGCTCTCTCACTCATACAGAAAAAAAGAAAGAATGGGGCCAGTGGATGGTGTGGTGTATAAGTCACCTGGATCCCACTGGTCAATTACGCACTTTGAATTCTAGACCTGGCAGCTTTAAATTCCCACTAGCCATGAGTGCCCCAATTCTGAAAGGAGAAATGCAGGGAAAAGGATTTCAGAGTGACCGTCCCCTGTGGGGGTGTTTTCTCACTCCTACCCCCACCCCAAGTCCCGGCTTTCCTGGCAAGTGCACACATCTTCTGGCAAGTGCAAAGAATAAAGGCACAGGAAGGGGGAAAGGGAAGGAGAGAGGAAAGGAGGGAGGAGGGAAGCAGGGAAGGAAGGAAAGAAGGAAGGAAAACGGTCAAACAAACTCCACTAGCGGTCCTCTGTCTTTCTTGCTCTCTGCGTGTGCGTGATGTTTACTCACAGTCACACTCTCACACGTCTTCTGGTAAATATACACACATCTACGCATGTGTGTTGAGTATAGACCCAGCACTATAATCACTGGATCAAAACGGACATGCGCGTCACCTGGGGCAGATACTGTAACTGCATGCCAGAGAGCTGCAGCGGGTGAGACCCCGCCAGCCACACGGGGGGTGCGGGCTCCTCTGTACCCTTCCAGCCACTCGGCATTTTCTACCTTTCTCCTTTTCACCATTCTGATGAGCACATTCTAATAGTGCCTGGTGGTTCCAGCTGCCATTTCCTTGATGACTGATGAAACTGACCACTTCTTCATATATTCACATTGGCCATTCTGGATATCTTCCTTTTGAAATGTCTGTTCAAGGTTTTTGTCCTTTTTACCTACTAGATTACCTGCCCTTCCTCTCCACATTCCCTGCTAATTTGTGGATGTTCTTCACGTATTCTGGATGTGAGGCCTTTATTGGGCATTCAAGTATAGCCTTCCATTCAACGGTCCGCCTTTCCCAATGGTATCTTTTTATGACTTTTTTTTGGTGTTTGGGCTCACCAGAGACCTATGGGGGGATGAGAACTCACTCCCCAGAAGGGGTGGCAACACTGAAATCCCTTCTCTCCATTCTCCTCAGGATTTTGTGCATGTATGCACATATGCCAGGCATCATTTTCAAGCCACCAGGTGCAGGACTTGAACAGCAGAGTCAGCCATGTAGGATCTAGTCGCTTTAACCACACCACCTGCTAGCCCTTACTATTAAACAATTTAATGGTATCTTTAGAGAAAGAGAAGTTGAATACACATACACAAGCTGAAATTTTTAAATGTCTGCCTTATGTTAAAATACATGATTGCCAGATAATCAGATTCCATTTCCACAAGATTTCGATCACTTACTATAGGTAATCTATGCTGTCAATTAAAAATAACAATAATGATAAATAAAATAAAGGAAATAATTCTTTTTGAAAAAAAAAATGAGCAGACAAGGAAAATCATGCTCAGCAAAATAAGGAATGAGTTCTAAGGTTACTTGGTCAGGATTCAAATGGGTCACAGGACGCTCTGGATATCTGCGTTATTACCATGAGATAACGAACCTGAGACCCCAAACCCATCATGGGCGCCACAGCCCTGTCTCAACATGAGCATCCTGGTGCTAATGGCACCAACAAACATGTGCTGGACACTCAGTGCATGACAGCAAGTTCAGCAAACATGTGATGGGCCTTCTTTTTTTTAATAATGAGAATCAAAAAGAATACAAGCTTTGAATGAAGAGTACGTATGCCTGAGCTCTGGCCATATCACTTACTCACTGTCAGCCCATCACCATCAAGCGTTTCAGTTTTCTCAAGAATGCTGGAAGAAATAAATGAGCCCAGAAACACAAAACACCAACAGTCACTGGCACATTGTAATACATGGCCTGTCTCTAAGGTTTACTGTGCTAGCAATCACTCAACGAAACTCATTTCAGCACCAACCACGGCTCACGTATAGTTCCAGCATTATTTATAAAATATTATTTATAAAATAATAAAGCATTATTTTATGAAGAATGCCCAGTGAAGAACACTCTGATATGATATTTGAGCAAAGATCTAAGTAAAGGCAGAGAGGAAGGAAACTGTGTAGCTATGGCCAGGGAATAGCGTTCTGACAGACGGGGCAGACTGGAAAGCCTTGGGACTGGAGGATGCTTGGGAAGGCAAAGGCAGCAGGGGCAGCCTGAACGCGAGCAATGGCAGAAGTGGGGAGTCGCACAGGGGCAATCTGGAGAGGCAGATCACTCAGGCCCCTGCAAGTCCTCCGTGAGAAAGGAAGTCCCTGGAGCACCCCAGGCAGAGCAGTGACATGATGGGGTTTACATTTTTCATGATTAGGCTACATAATGGGGAACCAACAACAGGAGCCAAAGCAAGGAGAAGGAAGACGAGGAGGTGACTGCAAGTGTCTGGGCAGGAAATAATACTCAGGGTAATACCTGCCCCATTTTCACATCTGGGAAAAAGTTTTAGGGAATTGTGTAACATCCCCAAGGTCCATGGCCATAAGAGGTAAGTAAGTAGGGAGCTCCAGAGGGTGAGAGGGCACAAATGGCCAAAGGCAGAATGGAGCTAGGAGGCTTAAAGGCAGACAGGAACTTGAACTGGGCATGCTTCTGTGGAGCTAGGCAAAGCCTTCAGGCCAGGTTAGGGTCCCTGCTTCACACACAGCAGGCTACCATGGGTCACACACAAGCCTACTGAAACTTCTCTCGGGTCTAATTCAGTCCCAGGCTGGTCACCCTTCCTCAGTCCCTAAGCTGCAGCACCTGACACCTTCATGCTATGCCTCTCTAGAGCTGACATCCCATCCGCACTCCCCTGCCCCCAGGAAACTCATTATTTTCCTTACACTTCCATTATTATTCTAAGAGTCTGGTGTAATCTGAGTGTTTCCTCTTCTTTGATACCTGCCTCACCGTGGAGGCCTGAAATAAAATCATCCTTTTGCGCCTACTGGGCAACATGTTCCTACCAGTGCCAAAGACATCCTGCACCCTCAACCCTGCTGCCAACAAGGTGCACTAAGATTAAACCCCCACACGCCTCCCGACTCGACAGGGAGCCACACAACAGGTTTCTGAAAAGCTGAACTGGACTAAGAAGATGATAACCCTGACACTGAGAAGGATGAGCTAGTCGGTCCATGTGCAGTCAAAGAAAAATACAGCTTCACGGAGCAACACAGATGATCCTCATGAACAATGTGCTGCGGATGGCTTGTTTGATAATAAACGTCCAATTAAAGAAAACACACACAAGGAAGGATGGAACCAGAAAGTAATCATCTAGCAAAAGTTACAGTAACGATTGCTGCCAAGACAGAATCATCCATGAGTGGGTAAAAAGACAATTAACAGCAGGGTACCTGCACAGTCTCAGTGTGTCTCCCGATAAGACACTTGTTACAAAGGAGACTAGTAACCGAATAGTGGAGAAATGGAGCTATCACACACATCTCACCCCAAAGGCCCAATTTAGAATCACCTGTGAATGGAGTCACATTGTCGTGGACTTCCTGATGTGTCATGCTGAGACGAGAACAACACCCTGATTTTGGCAGTTTTGCCCAAAATGTATAACTTTAAGGAATCAAAAACATACAAGCCAAACCCAAATGGAGGAACACAGTAAAGTAACCTGTTAGTACTCTTCAAATATGTCAAGGTCATGAATGACGTAGACAGAATGAGGGAATGTCCCAGACTAGAGAAGAGACAATGAGACAGGGAAGTGACAATGTGATGAAATGGATCCTGGATCAGGAAAGGGATATCAAGTGGCCATTGCAAAATTTGACTAAGGCCTGTACAGGGGTTGACAGTACTGCATCACCTAATTTCCCAGTCTTTGTTTTTGGGGGGAGAGGCTTTTGCTATAGGGCACTTGCCAGAGAGACAGAGAGACAGGAAGCAAGAAATCGCCCCCCAGGGAGGATGGCCATGCCACAATCCCTTCTCCATTCTCCTCTAGGAATCTTGGGCACACACACACAC